ATTGATAGCCCATCTGTACAAATCTGGTTTCTTTTTTCTGGCTGCTGTTTCTCTCTTCTCACATAAATCAACCCAATCATTTCATGAGCAGGAGAAACCTTATTCCTACTTGTTTATCCAATCTGTCTATGTAATAGGACCTTTGGTAGAATAAGATGAATTAAAAGGGATAGCATGAACCAGTGGTGAAATCCAATTTTTTTTACTACCGGTTCTGTGGGCATGGCTTGGTGGCTTGGCTTGGTGGGTGCGGCAGGGGAAGGATTCTGCAAAATCTCCATTCCCATTCCATTCTGGAGGTGGTATTTGCCAATTCTCTGAACTACTCAAAATTTCTGCTACTGGTTCTCCAGAACCTGTCAAAACCTGCTGGATTTCACCCCTGGCATGAACCAAGTATACAGGTCCTCGACTTATGAGCACAATTGAACCCAGAATTTATGTTTCTAAGTGAGAAATTTGTTAAGTGAGTTTTGCCCCATTTTACGACTTTTCTTGCCACATTTGTTAAGTGAATCACTGCAATTGTTAAATTAGTAACACAGTAGTTAATTGAATCTGGCTTCCCCATTGATTTTGCTCATCAGAAGTTCGCAAAAGATGATCACATGACCCCAGGACACTGCAACCGTCATAAATACGAATTAATTGTCAAGCATCTGAATGTAAATCACATGATCATGAGGATGCTGCAATGGTCGTAAGTGTGAAAAATGGTCATATGTCACTTTTTTCCACTGCTGTTGTAACTTTGAATAGTAGCTAAATGAACTGTTGTAGGTCCAGGACTACTTATATATAAAAAATAATGTTTGTCCAAAAACATTTTTAAAAAGTGCAATTTTATTTACATTTTCAAAATAATAAAATAACTGTTTCAGTGTAGATGGAAATCATATTGCAATTCATGGAATCACGCCATGGAACAGGGAGACTTAACTCAAGAGTTAACAGTTGCAAGACTTGTTGGCTTGATGATGATCTGAGAACAATGCGACCTTTGAAGGCATACCTGTTGCTGATCTAAAATGGTCTCTTCCTTTGCCTGCACTAATGGCATCAGTGTGGCAGAGGAAGAAAAGTGAGATGAAAGCTACAGTGGGATGCCAGATCTGATATACTAATGCCTTGAAGAATCAGCCAGAAAATGTTGGGGTATTGCCCCTTCTGGACACACCCACAAAGCTGGGGTTAATTAATGTATGATCTGAAGCAATGTACTTTCTGCTCTGGATCAAGCTATAGTTTGCTTGACAATCAAAACACTAAGCTGCTTAATGAGCTTGTTTATCTTTCAAAAGCACTATTCATATACATTTTCAGTACAAGCCTCCATAATTTGTGACATTCATGGTAATCCACTCGGGATTCAGGAAAGATATTTTGGCTTCCCCTGCTTTTCTAGTAGATTGCATTAAGGAAGTGAAATCATTGTAGACTGTATCTTTATATGCATTCCAGCTTCCTACACTCTTAAGATAAACTTTGCTGCAGGCATGTGGAGTCACATGGAAACCTGCAAAAACCAGTTCAGTTACCATTCCTCATTCATCTGACAAGACACTTGGGGTGGCAAAAACATGGTTTGCCTTTCCCCTGGCAGAATCTGTGCCTTGTGGAATGACTTCAGCTTTGGTGCCTTACCCGTTTTAGAATGAGCCATCCAGCCACTAACTCTTCACCTAAGAGATGTTCAATATAAGAGTTTTCCTTAAGGATTCACCAGATTCCACCTTTGCAGAAAAAAAACTCTCATGGTATCAACTCTACTGGGGCCTTCTGGTTTTCTTTGCGGTTTGCCATTTGTCTTAATTTTTCTTTCATTATAGTTTGTGTTTTATTCTGCATGCCATCTTAGGAAAATGCTGTTGGTAAAAGATGTCTAAATAAATGATGGATAGGTTCTTGCTTAATTAAAAATAAAAATTCAACTTTCTCAAACTGAATTCAGAGAAACAAATTGGAGAGTTATTACTTCACCTTCTCTTTTTCTGCACATCTAAATAAGGCAACGACCAGTTCTGATAGCAACAACCAGTTCCACCCGAAATGTTCCTCCTCCAATTTGGACATCCTGTATCTCACCCAGAAGGGAACCAGACTAGCCTCATTCTTGAAGTGCAACAGTGTGCACACCTACCACTGGAGGCCATGGCTGCAGAGTGGGCAGCCAATGTAGGCAATTGGCAGTGGGTGAGGTCTGGACAGGAACAAGCATCAAGCATACAAGAGTGAATAGGGAGAATGTGGCAAAAAGAAGGATGGAACTGTTCCTGGGGTTGTAAATTCTACACTTAATCTGAGGCTGTTGGGCTACTGCAGGAAGATGGAGAATTTAATAATCAGTTTGTAAGCACAGGACTCAGTCAATTAGGTAGCACCGTACTTTCTCTTGCTTTTTCTTACTATCTCTCACTTTCCCAAATTTACACTAGGAATTCTTTGTTCTTTTCTCTAGCTTCATATTTTCATACCATAACATTGACATCAGAGGTGGGCAATGTAATGGATCTTGGATACCCGAATACCTCAGTGGTGAAATGTAAAATTTGTTACTACCGGTTCTGTGGGTGTGGCTTGGTGGGGTGGGAGGTTAATGTGACTGGGTGGGCGTGGCCAACTTTTTTGGGGGGGGGGTTTAAAAGCATTTTTTTTCTACAACCTCTTCAGCCAAAGAGGTTGCAGGAAAAAAAATGCTTTTAAAAGCCTCTGACAATTAGGCAACTCAGCTGGGATCATCAGAGGTTTTTAAAAGCATTTTTCTACTACCTCTTTGGCTGAAGAGGTTGTAGAAAAAAATGCTTTTAAAAGCCTCTGACGATCCCAGCTGAGCCATGCGATCATTAGAGGTTTTTGTTTTTCTTTTAAAAGCATTTTTTGGGGGCCAAAGAGATTGTAGAAAAAATGCTTTTAAAAGTAAAAAAAAGAGCCTCTGATGATCACGCGGCTTAGCTGGGCATGGGGGGGGGCGGAGGGATTTTTGCTACCGGTTGTCTGAACCACTCGCCACCATCACTATTGGATCGGGCATTCCGGTCCGAACCAGGAGCATTTCACCCCTGGGATACCTGCAACACTGATAAATGGGTCTCTGCAACCTCAAAGTATATTGAGATATCTTTCAAAATCACTAAATTTCATGAGATTGTAGTATTTTTGCAAACCACTGAGAGCTCATAATACTTCTTGTTAATCTCCAAATAATTGGGCCCTTTTATTTTTAAAGATCATCTGTTCTAGACGAAGTGGCAACACCTAACTCACCTTGGTTGACCTTAGAATGCTAAGCAGTTTTGGACTTGATAACACTTGAAATGGAGTCAACCAGGAAACCCTAGGATTGTAATAAGAATGGGACCTTCACCTCATCCCAACCTCCCCCAAAAAACATTCCAGATAAAAGCATTGCCAGGGCAAACCATCTCTGTATTATTGCCAAGGAAATTACTTGGATGTACCTTGTTGCTACAAATCTGACTTGAGTTGGTTTTACTTTTTATTACCATATACAAAAGCACACACCCATCTTAATGTGCAGGTGTATATGAAACTTCATATATATGACATTCATTAATTTACGGAACCCCTTAAAAAGAAAGAAACATATATAGTAAGGCCAAACCTTCCACTTAAAAACAACTTTCAATCCGAGTGTTTTCATAAAGTTTGATTGCTGATCTTTCTTCTAATTCATTTTTCTCTATAGACACTGCATCTCCTTAAATGCAAAATTTAAAAACAAATCAGTAAAATGTTGATTGATGTTCCCCATGAGCCTAATACGAGAACAGTGGCATTGTGCAAGTTCAGAAATATGATTCCCCCAATCTAGTTTTGCTGCACAGCAGACTTAGAGGGAGAAGGAAATTATGGAGATAAAAATCATATTGCCTCATTATTCTTAAACTGCTCAACTTAAATAACCCCACACTCCTTGTGCTAATAAATTCTGAAATGTTGCTTTGCAGCCTATATAATAGTAAATCCTCCTTCCGTTTTAGTTCCCCTTGTATAACCTTGATTTTACAAACTGCCTAGGAATCTGTAGCAACACAAGAAAAAAAACAGGCTTCAGTTTTTTTGTACAAATTGTGCAAGCTTCTTTTGAAGAACAAGTCTTCTTTCTTAGAACTGAAGGGATGTTGATTTAAAAAACAATAATTTCAAAAGTTTGTGCATTGAGCCATGGTGGCTCAGAGGTTAGAATGCAGTATTGCAGGCTGTTTCCGTCACTGCCAGGAGTTTGACCCCGATGGGTTCAAGGTTGACTCAGCCTTCCATTCTCCTGAGGTCAGTAAAATGAAGATCCAGATTGTTGGGGGCAATCAGGACTCCCATGTTGGGGGCAATAGGCTGATTTTGTAAATCGCTTAGAGATTATTGTGGAGCAGTATATAGTTTAAGTGCTATTGCTATCGATTGCCTCAAATAATTTCTTTCAACAAGCATTTTATATGTAAGAGAGAAGGGTTTCATTCTAAACCTAATCCAAAGTTTTGTTTAAGTTATTAAGGACAATATGAATTATCTAGACCTATAATCCTTGTTGGCTGCCCCCATTCTTTCATATTAAGTGGCGTTGGGGAAAGTTATACCTGCAAACTAGCATATGTAGTTGAATTAAACATTCTTGTTTTTCTTCTGAAACTTTTCTTTTCTTGGATTTATCCATGGTTGGCCTACTGGGGGTTGAAAAGCTCAATACATCGTGTGCCGGGGGGTGTCGTACATTGCTGGTTGTGACACATATTTTGAATGACAAGGAGCCACAGCAGAGGGGTGAAAGAGCCACATGTGGCTCCAGAGCTGCAGGTTGCTGACCCCTGCCCCAGAGTGTAGTTTGTGGTGAGTGATAGAACAGTGATAGAACAGTTCCCAATACCACTTCCTGAATTGGCAGAGATGGCTAAATTGACCGTTTTGAGCAAAGAAAAGAATATAAGTACTTTTGTTTCTGAGGGAGGTGGTGGTTCAGTCGCTAAGATGCTGAGCTTGTCGATTTAAACGTTGGCAGTTCAGCGGTTCGAATCCCTAGTGCCGCGTAACCGGGTGACCTCCCATTACTTGTCCCAGCTTCTGCCAACCTAGCAGTTCGAAAACACATAAAAAAATGCAATTAGAAAATAGGGACTACCTTTGGTGGGAAGGTAACAGCATTCCATGTGCCTTTGGCGTTTAGTCATGCCGGCCACATTACCACAGAGACGTCTTCGGACAGCGCTGGCTGTTCGGCTTTGAAATGGAGGCATCGCCCCCTAGAGTCAGGAACGACTAGCACATATGTGCAAGGGGAATCTTTACCTTTTTTTACTTTTGTTTCTACATGGAGACCTTTATTGATTTCTCTGTATATCATGTTGTGGCTTTCCTAAATAAGACTTCTATGGTATAGCATACGCTTTTGTGAACTAGAAACTACTTCATCAAATTAAGGTTCTCAGATGGTTGGAGGTAGTTTGTAAACAGTGGAGTCAAGGGAAACTGAAAGAATAATTATTAAGAAAACTCATAGTTATTTGTTTAACTGTAGAATCAGAGGTGGGTTTCAGCAGGTTCTGACCAATTCTGGAGAATGGGTAGCAGAAATTTTGAGTAGTTCAGAGAACCGGTAGTAAAAAGTCTGACTGGCCCCACCCCATCTATTCTCTGCTTCCCGAATCCCAGCTGATCAGGAGGAAATGGGGATTTTGCAGTAACCTTCCCTTCGATTGGGGAGGGAATGGAGATTTTACAGTATCCTTCCCCTGCCATGCCCACCAAGCCACACCCACCAAGCCATGCCATGCCACCAAGCCACACCCAAAGAACCGGTAATAAAAATTTTTGAAACCCACCACTGTGTAGAATGATCCCTCTAGTCTAGTAGTTCAGAATCGCCTTCTTTATAGCTTGTGTTCTTATTTCTCAAATTCTCAAAGTAGCATTGAGGTAGTCTATGGTTTCACCAGAACAGTCCATGTAGCTAATCTATAATGTCTACTGATGTCCTCCACTATCAACATATCTCTTTTTGCCTTACTACATGCTATCATGGAAAGGCAGAAAATAAGCGTGGTGCTCAGAATACAACTTCCTCAGCTGAGCAAGGGAAAGAGTCAAATGGGAAACTCTGTGGAATTCAGCATCTTAAAATCACAAAGTATGATGTTTTGAGATGCTGGCAACTGAGCTAGCAGAAAATTAGCTCCACCACCCAAGTAGGGGAGCACCATGCAAACATGTCTTGGTGGCGCAGCGGACTAAAGTGCTACTGTTAAGTAGCACTTAGCTGCCAGCTGCCTGCAATTACTGCAAGTTCAAATCTCACCAGGCTCAAGGTTGACTCAGCCTTCCATCCTTCCGAGGTAGGTAAAATGAGGGGTAAAATGACCCAGATTGTGGGGCAATAAGGTGACTTTGTATAAAAAGAGCACCGCATAGGGGGGGCCAAAAGCCCTACTAAGCAGGTATATACAAAAGTGTGAAGGCTATTGCTTAACGCATTGTAAGCCGCCCTGAGTCTCTGGAAAAGGGTGGCATATAAATCGAACCAATAAATAAATAAATAAATAAATAAATAAATAAATAAATAAATAAATGATTATGCTAGTCAGGGAGCAGCACCTATATCCAGGTAGAAGGTCTCCCGACAGACTTGAACGTTAGAAATTCTGCATGTCATGTGGTGGAAAGAAGAACACTTTAAAGAACTTTGGGTTCCAACTCCTCCACAAGTTTTTTAAAAAATTAGGTAGATTCCTCAGAGACAACACCACTGTTTTTCTGGCCTAGATTTTTTAAAAAATAAGTCATTATTAATTATTTCCCAGTATTTTCCTAGTAAAATATATACACTTCCTATTTAACAAGATTTGAGCAGTCAATACATGAAAAATCACTTTGGAATTTAGGACTCCGCAATATGTTTTGTTTCTTTCTCTGTTAGATACACTGAAAAAAACAATTCTAGAACAGATTGCATCTGAATGTATGTACAGGTTTAAGCTCTCACAACTTATATTTGGCAAGACTTTCTTTGAATTTTACTTCCCTTTCTTTGACTTTACTTCTTCTTCTGTCTCATGTTTGATCAGCCTGCACCTTCAAGTTTGTTAACACCTTTTTTTAGTTGCCTTCTCAATAACTTGCCTTCCAAAACAGGTCCCAATAGGTTATATTACCGTAGTTCTTGAATTTAAAACTGACATGTACCCATATTGTTATTAAGCTGAAATTGCCTTCTTTGTGATAAGGCTTACAAGTTCCTTTTGTTTCCCTTTACTCATTGTGTTTCTTTTTCAGCCCATGCAATATTTTAGGACAGTGGCAATCTGTAGACATCACCCAGTTGGTCTTTACAGAAGCCATATTAAAGCAAATAGACAATAGCTTCGGGAATTGCCAAATTTTATAAGATTTTGATTCTTTTATCCAAAATTTTGTGAGACTAGGAAAGAAACACCAAAATCTTATGATAAATTTTGGACACTCTATTTTTTTAAAAAAAGCCAAAACATTAATTGAGGTCCTCTGGAAATCCTATGATGGAATCACATATACTTTGGTGCCTGAAGGTGCTCCATTGATGACTCTGGGTCCCAAAAGATTTAGGTGACAACATGGTTAGATATTGCCACTGCTATTACAATCATCACAAGAACTCCAACTTGTAGTTATCCAGCAAATGGTCCAATGGGATTGTTATTCATTAGGCCATGAAAGAAAAATCAGGAAGTATTACTTGAGTATAATAGATATACCTAGTCCTCCCTTATTCATTGTACCAAACATACAGTGAGCCTATCATATCACAAATAGTTGGGGCCAGGCCACTCCCCAGAGTAGCCCTGGCCAGTTTACTCTTCTAATACATCATGTTCAACTCTTGCTGATTTTAATCTGTAGATTTGGAACATAGATGACAGAGAATCAGTCTCCCAGTATGAAGATCACCTTCCCCAAAGAAAACAAAGGGTGGGAGACAGTGGTGGGTTGCTACCGGTTCTCCCCAGTTCTTGCGAACTGGTAATGGAAATTTTGAGTAGTTCGGAGAACCAGTAAATACCACCTCTGCCTGGCCCCGCCCCCAATCTATTTGCTGCCTCCCAAGTCCCAGCTGATTGCTAGAAGGAAAAAATCAGGGCTCACTTGACAAAGAAGAGGAAAAAAAAAACAATACACCTTAGCTTTAAATTGAGAAGCCAAGAAGCCTCCCAACTGATTGGCTAGAACCGATTCACTCCTTGTAAACTGCTTGGTGGTGGTAGATTGGCAATTGAGGCCAAGCTGCCTGAAAGCAGTTTCCAATGGTCTCGGTGGTGGCAGAGCGGCAAAAAACTGTTTAAACACTTGCCGTGGCGCTTCAAAGGGCCGCCCTACAGCTGATCAGCGGTAAAAGGCAGTGTGGTGGTAGACTGGTGCGCTCCAAAAACAAATAGGTAGACTGGAACGCTCCAAAAACAAATGGGTAGACCGGTACGGCTCTGCAAGCAGTTAAAAGCCTGGTAGACCAGTACCTCTGCTAAATCCTAAATAATTGTTTGTCACATGACCATCAAACCACACCCACAAAATAAGCCACGCTCACAGAACCGGTAGTAAAAAATTTTAGCATCCACCCCTGGTGGGAGAACATGTAAATACATATTCCTCTTGTAGAGAAAATTCCCATTTTTTGGAGGGATTAAAAACTAAATTTTCAATTCCTTGTATTGATCTGCCACTAAACTTCCTATTTAGGGCTAGGGGGAGGGGAGACTACTTAAGCTGCTTCCAAGTTCAGATGGCTAGTTTTTTCTAGGGAATATCATATACAAACATAACAAAACTTAGATAACGAAGAGAAAACTATCAGAAAAACATTTTATGTTAATAGACCAATACATTTTTATTGTATAAGATGAATATAGAAAATGTCCACTCGACAAGATAATTGCTCTATGAAATTCTTCACTAAGGCGGCCATGGAAGGAATTCAAATTGAGCAAAAGATACTGGTCCCTGGACTTTCTCCTCAAAAGCATCCTTCTGATTCCTAACCAGATGTTCACCAGTTGTGCTAGGAGGAGGCAATTTTGGGGCAAACCACCCAGCTTGCCATATGAGGAACACTGGTCACCATGACTAGAATGGTGTGGTAGAATCACAAATGAGTGGTAGTGAGGGCTATATTATTATTATTATTATTGTTATTGTTATTGTTGTTGTTGTTGTTGTTATTATTATTATTATTATTATTATTATTATTATTATTAATATTATTATTATTATTATTCATCGCACAGTCAGCTAGATGTTCAGACTGGGTTTGGCATTTTGTCTACCAATCGAGTCCTTACCAAGGACCTGAGATAGGCAAATCTGAATGTTTGATGGTGTTACAGATATCATCTCAGGATGGAAGCAGTTCCAAGTAAAGCCGCCTTGTGCAATTGACTGATGGCAAATTTGTTGATGCCGATGGTGTTCAAGTGGTGCGCCAAGGCACCTATTACTATTGGTACTACCCTTGCTTGCTTTTGCCACAGTCTTTCTATTTCTATTTGTAGGTCTTTGTATTTTGTTACCTTCTCCAATTCTTTCTCTTTTATTCTTCTGTCTCCAGGCACTGCCGTATCCACTATCCAAACTTTTTTGTCTTTCTTATTGACAACTGTTAAGTCCAACAACAATAATTATTATTAAACTCATTTTAGATACCATTGATTTTCACAATTATGATCAGAAGATACAGAAAAGAAAATTGGGAGTGTAAGTAAACTTGAGTTGTCACCTCTGATACTATGTCTCTATTGACTCTGCAAGGATGGAGAGTAGACCGTGCCAGATGGATCCCTACATTTACTGTAAGTTACACTAAAACTTAGCAGTGCTTGCATATGCAGCCCATGCAAATATAAATCTCCTATCAATGAGAGCCTCAAAAGCATAGGAACCCCAATGGTTGAACAACGCCAGCAATTTATAAGACCTAGTGAAATCAACAATTTTCTCGGCCCTATTTTAAATACTTTGCCCCAAAAAGGTGCAAGCACCTCTAAGAAATCCAAGCTGCAACTTAAGACTGAAAATAAAGATGAGTTAGTAAGAAAAACTGAAAGACAATATGAATGGAATTTGATTTTCTTCCACCTTCTGCTTCCCAGGCAAAAAAAAATCCTGAAAACTGAGTTTTGAGCAAAAGATACGCTCTACACATTCTGGCAACTTTATACTCTGTCTGTTAGTTTGTTTCCTGCCTGTCTGCCTATCTATCTTTATCCCACCTTTCTTACTTTTATAAATATTCCTTCCTCCTCCTATTTTCCCAATAACAATATAAATATAAGTTGAGTTGGGCTAAGAGAGAGAGTGACTGACCCAAAGTCACCCAGCCAGTTTTCATGCCTAAGGCGGGAATAGAACTCACAACCTCCTGGTTTCTAGGCCAGCACCTTAACTACTGCACCAAATTGACACTCCTATATTACCCAAGAATTTGTGCCAATAGTGCCCATACAGAAAACACAAGTTATTAAAACTGAAACCACATTTTTTAAATTTCTGGAACATCACTCACCAAGGTTGATTAGCAGGAACCAGAGAGAGGAAATTTTCAGAGCTGGCACAGCAAACACAAGGGCTATTGAGTTATGTGCAGGGCTGGGTATTGTTATGAAGTCATGGCCATAAGTGTATTCTAATTGGCACCCACTGTGCAATGTTTTCAGGATTCTACATGTGTGGCATCAGTATTTTTAGGTGAGCAATGATTTCTGCATCTCTTGTAATGATGCTGATTCTGCCACGGGGCTGAATGTAAGACTGCATTAACTCTGTAACAATAGCCACTTAGCATATTGGGACCATACAGTTGCCCTGCCCATGAATTTACCAGACTTTGTAAACTCCTATCCTGTTTGGTTCAGTTCTTTCTAGGAGAATTATGCAAGCCATGGTGATAAATGGTTGCATGTTTGTACAATACATAGCCCAGCCATCTTCTATTCAATGATAACCTAGTAATCTTACATATTTATATGAACCACTGGTATAGTAATTATAGGGTGTCATAAGTTTCACTTTAATTAATGTTTGGGATCATTTGGGGACAAAACATAACAACAGAAAGTCCTAGAGACCAAAATGCAAGGAAAGATAATACTAACAGAGGGAGGAATTGCTGATATATATACAACCCTCTTCTTATTCTTCTACAGATTTGTGAGAAGTGTAGGCAGAGGTGATTCTGATTTGTCCTAGGGAAGGAAATGTTCACCCCTTGGGATCTAACTCAATGCAGCATGGTATTTCATAAGCTGTTGAACTTCAATTCCCATCAGCCCTAGAAAGCTTGGCCCATTCCAGATAGAAACTCCCATTAGGCTGGCTTGAGTCTCTATATTGGGTGAAAAAGTTTCAAAATGGCTAATAAAGTTCAGCAATAACTTTAAGCAAACTCCACAGATACATGATCTGAGCTGGCAATGATTGTTCAGAAAAGATTCTGAATTGCTCAATAAAATCATCAAGGCTGCTGTAAAAAAGAAAATGGCAGATTTCATGTTTGACCCATTGCAAATAAAAGACAGAGCAACGGCTTTGCGTAAGTATCTGATGGGGCCCCATTTGGACCCTTGTACAATTCTGGTTATCATATCTGAAAAAGAAAATGATAAAGAGTTGGAAAATGTACAAAAATGGAATGAACCAAATGATTAGGAGTTAGAGCAGATCCCCACTGAAGAAAGTTTGATGGGTAAAAGGAAATACGAAAAAAGCAGGGGTGAAATCCAGCAGGTTCTGACAGGTTCTAGAGAACCGGTAGCAGAAATTTTGAGTAGTTCAGAGAACCAGCAAATATCACCTCTGGCTGGCCCCAGAGTGGGGTGGGAATGGAGATTTTGCAATATCCTTCCCCAGGAATTGGGGGGGATGGCAATTTTGCAGTATCCTTCCCCTGCCACGCCCACCAAGCTACGGCCACCAAGCCACACCACGGCCACTTAGCCATGCCCACAGAACCAGTAGTAAAAAAATTTGGATTTCACCACTGGAAAAAAAGGTATATAAAATATTGGGCTTAGGGGTGGGAGAAGGCAGGGGATACATAAGGAAAGACAAGGAACAAAAATGGGCTGAAGCAAACCTCCCTGTATATACTTGCATATCTCTCACACACTGTAAGAATTCAAAGTTTTCCGTTAAAGGGGAAAGTTCAGGGGGAAGTTCAGACTATATAAAATGCAATGCATAGCTAGACTGTGGAATTTACTGCTGTCACATGTAGGAATGGCATAGCTTAGGTTTTAAGATCAACCTGCACAAATTCAGTGATCCTATGGCTACCACTGTTGATGGTTGTCCAATCGGTTATGCAATTCCTTGTATATTTTTGGGCCACAAAATATGAGACTAGATAGGCCTGGCTGATTCAAGAGGAGTCATCTATTGCTCTTCTGTTAGAAAAACATGGTTGGCTCTTATTTCAAAAATGTTTATTCAAGGTTATGCAGCTTGGAAATCTCTTTTCTTTTTCTTTTTTATTTCTTTTCCTGTTATTTTTCTTGATTGTGCTTTCAAACAACCATTAAACTAAAACTTTTTTTAAAAATGTGGTTGGTTATTTTGTGATTCATGGTTCAAAAATCCAGCAATTTTAATAAGATGCTTCCTGAAGGCAAAGCATACAACATGGTGGTTTCATAAGCTGTTGAACTTCGATTCCCATCAGCCCTAGAGATCTTGGCCCATAGTCAAACAGAGTTTTCCAGCACTGCACATCAGGGATGATTGCATAGGTGTTCGATTTATATTCCTGCAAATGTAAGGAGGAATTTTGTCTAGGAGGCACTCAATAGCAAAGCACCAAACAGGAAGTTGGATCAACCAATTAGCACGGAAGATGAGCATCTCCGCACAATGCACAGTTGGGATTTGGGAGATGTTGCATCAGCCTCTCTGCAGCCTTCTGCAACCTATACTTACCCATCAATCCTTTCACAATGTAGGTGTGCAGGAATGTCTATGTGCAGTTGTGGGCCACTTTAAATCAGTCTTCGGGAAGAATATTGGGAGCTGTACCTGAGTCACACATAGATGGTGACAAAGGCCTTCTCCCTGCCTAAGGTGATCGACCATTATTTTCTACACTTTTTGACACATTATTTTCTATAGAGGTAGTCCTCTATGACCACAATTGAGCCCAAAATTTCTGTTGTTAAGTGAGACAGTTATTAAATGAATTTTGCCTTATTTTACGATCTTTCTTGCCACAGTTAAGTGAATCACTGAAGTTGTTAAGTTAGTTACAGAGTTGTTAAGTGAATCTGGCTTCCCCATTGACTTTGCTTGTCAGAAAGTCACAAAAGGTGAGCACATGATATTGGGACATGCAACTGTCATAAATACAAGTCAGTTGCCAAATGTTTGAATTTTGATCATGTGACTATAGGGATGCTGCAATGGTCATAAGTGTGAAAACAGTCATAACTCACTTTTTAAGTGCTGTTATAACTTTGAATGGTCACTAAATGAACTGTTTTTAATCAAGGGCTACCTGTACTTCTCTAGCAATTCTCAGAAAGCTGACATAATCTAGAACTTTTGCCATACCTTATCCATAAGAGATACTTCAGGGATAGAAAGATTAAAGCTCTTCTTTTTTTGCATTTTATAATCCTGATAATTATTGGCTTCCCCATGATTGCTGTGTCTCTTATCAAATATGCAAGTTAAATTCTAATACTTATCTGATTGGCCTTATTCCCTTGAGTTAGACTCATTTACATATAAAAGTTGTTATAGCTTTTTCATTCTATCATCCTTTTGCTAAGCATCTTTAGTGAAGTGGAGAAGGAGAAAGAAAAAAATGTGTCCATGCCTAATATGATATGCCTGCTTATGAAATGGAGTATTCCTATTTACAAATATAGGAAATATTACATCAAGGATGGTCTCAGCAGATGACAATACCTGATTGATATCTATGCTTGGAAGCTATGCAGGGTGAAGCCTGATTAATATTTGGATGGCTCTAAATTATTGGTTAGACTGAGAAATCAAAGAAAAGAGATGTCAGGAGAGAAAACTGTAATGATGAGACTCTGTAATCACCAAGCATTGATCTGGACTTAATGGAAATATTTAACTTTTACGCAAAACACTGCATCCAATAGTATTCAATTGTAATATACTGTGAAACACTAACAATTTGGTTACACTTATGTGCATTTAAGGAGGTAAGCGGTAATGAACTGGTGAAAACCTTATTATGGGCAGAGGTTACATTTTGGATTCAAGTATTGCGCTTTCTGTCAATTCATAGTTAACCCCGTTTTGAAAAAAATGGTCATTATATAATACTTTCAACTAAATTACAATGGATCGTTACATAATACTTCTAACAAACTTACATAAGATATTGAAACAGTTTTTACCAAGAGTTCCCTGAGTCCTCTAAAATGATAACTTGGTTTATTTTACAACTTTTTATTTCCAACTTTGTGCTGGACATGTAAGATATACTTAAGTTTCATTTACTTTGACTGCAGACTGTTCTGCTACATTGCTTTCACATGGTGTACTATGGTTACAGAAGTAGGAAATATTTTTCTTACAAAGATCGCTTTCACAATCTTGCTCATGTTTCAACAGCATTACACGCTTACGTAATTGCAGGTTTTAATCTAAGAAAAAATATGATGGTGTGCAGTCCCGCACAAGAGGTTCACCAAGAAATTTTTTTCTTAGATTTACCAAGCTTGCCAGAATATAAAAATACATCAGGTCTAGAATGATTATCGCTGTCAGGAAATGATGACAGAATAGGAGAAACTATGAAACAGGCAGGTAAAGATGTCCTTGCGGATTTTTTTCGACTTTTGTAGCCAACTTTAGGGGGCGTTGCTCATTTCCATTTCAGGTGATGAAACAGTGAAATAAAAAGTTTCATCAGACCTTAGAAAGGAGTCCATTTATAGTGGCATAGCTCTAATCAACCTCTTCAAATGAAAGGCTTAGTTCAAATTTAAGCACTATTTAAAATACTGCAAAATTCTTTGTGATTTTTGCCAAAACAGACTGACAAAGTTACTCTTTGTGATGCATACTGTTCTCCAATGACTAGGAAGACATATTAATTAATAAAGAAGTAATTACACCCAAGATCCACTCAGGTTTTCACTGACACCACTCCCTGTTTGCCAGATTCTCCTTCCTGTCCCACAAGCAGGTCTGTTTTTTACACCTCCCATTCAGTAAGCAGTGTTGAGGTTAAGGCATCAAAGGAAAGCCTTGACAATTAAAAAAAAAAATCAGGCCACAGAACTGACCTAATTCTTCAAATGATGCTTATTTATTTGTGGGTGAAAAGAAAGCGTTTACAAGGATATTAGAATAGCATGCTTGATTAAAATAAGGTTTACCTAGCATTGTGATGGTGAACCTATGGCATGTGTGCCACAGGTGGCACACAGAGTCCTCTCTGTGGGCACGTGAGCCGTCGCCCCAGCTCAGCTCCACCTCGCATGCATGCATGCCTCCCACCCGCCACCTGGTTTTTGGGTCTCTGCCATGCATGCGCTGGGGACAGGGTGCATGCAGAAGATGTG